CCCCTCGCCACCCCTACCGACCGACCCCCGGCACAGAGCCACAGAGAGCCCCGCGCGCGGCGCTCACTGGGCCGACGTTGCCAGCGCCAGCCCAGCAACAAAGTCTCACTATCTCGACCCAAAAGCTGTGCGGGGCCGCTCCGCTGCCATTGGTCGGTGGATCAGCGAATGGGAGCCCGTCCCGAGCGGCGGCTGGCTCGGCTCGGCCCGGCTCGGCCCGGCTCGGAGGCGCTCCGCGAGCGCCGGGCCGGGCGGGGGTCGGGTCGGCCCGGCGAACGCCCCGCCGCGCCGCGGCCAGCAGGGCGCTAGCAAAGGCCAGGCGGCCTGTGCCGGAGCCCACCCGCCGCCCCGCGCCCTGGCCCCGCGCCCGCCGCGGCCGTGCACGCCCAAGGCCTAGAGCTGCTCGGGCCGCACGCCCGCCGCTGCAGCAGCTGCTGGTTTTGCGTGGCCTTCACGGTCCAGGCGACGACGGGATGGCCCGGCCGGCCGGCGCGGCGGCGGCGCCTACGACATGTGGGCCACACTTCCTTTGCGCCGCGACGGACGTCGTCGCGGTGGTGCCGTAAGGCTCCCGCAGACTCTAACATTTGTGTAGACGATATTCGCACACAGCACACAAGCAGTGTACACCACCAGCCTGCAGGCGAGCATGAGCATGCTCGCGACCGAGGCACCCGAGGCACCCGGCCGGCGCCCGGCCGCGGGGCCTGGCCTGCACCTCGGCGACATGACCAGCGTCGCGTGCTATGGCCGCGAGCCCCCAGCTGTTGCTGACCCGGCCCCGCCCCGCCCCGCGCTCCTCACGCGAGGCTCGGTGGCGTAGCCCCGCGCCGAGCACAGGGAATCACACTCGCCACCGCCAGCCGCCCCGGCCGGGTTGACACGCACGCCACGACGTTCCGCACGCACTTTCGCGGCAGAAGGCGGGCGTTGCCGCCGCCGCGTGGCGGGGGTGGGCGGGGGCGGGCGGGGGCCGAGGGCGCGTGCACCTGCAGCGCTTGCACCTGTGCCAACGCGCGCCAGGCTCGGACGGTCGGTGACCCCCCCCCCTCCCCCTCCTCTAGGATCCAATCAACCTCATTCGACAGCTATCAAACACTATCAACTGCAAAGGACGAGGGCGGGCGCTCCTCCACGCGCGGCCTCCTGAACGGGGCCCGAGAGGGCGTCCTCCGGCGCGCACTATCAAGATCTGCCGAGGGTGGAGGGGGGGGGGGAGGTCATGTCGGGCTTTTATGCCCACGTAGGACATTGCTAACCCATTAGGGGGGGGGGGCGTGACCCTTGACTTCAATTGAACGCACCTGTGCAAAGGGGGGGGGGGAGAAAGCGAAATCAAAAATGGAAACTTCAATATGAAACCCACTGTTTTTTAAACTGGCGGCGTAGTCGGTTCATCCAGTCAGGTAGGTGAACACGAGTACATGGCGTGGGGCGAGATAGGGGGAAAAGAGGGAGGGGCGGGGCGGGAGGGCGGGGGGAGGAGGAGAACGAGATATGCCCCCGCGCGCTACTGCCACCGCGCTACACCGCACGATGACGGGCTGCCAGCTCGGGCGGGGTGGCGGCCGGGCAGCTAGTCTGGTCAGTCCGGCAGCCAGCCAGCACGACCTCAAAGTGGAACAGAACAGTCTAGCCTGTCTGCCGAGCTTCATCGGGTGTAATGGGAGGAGAGGGGGGGGGGGAAGAAACGAGTTGAATGGGCAAGTGAGGGGGTAGGGAGAGGCAAGAGGGCATCATGTCCAAAATTCAGCGGAATTATTTTTCTTTCTTTTTGATCTCTTATTCTTTCTTATAGTGGCGCCTTCTTCTTCATGCGCCTTCTGGTGCTCTCGGCCAAGCCCGTTGCGCAAGGTCAAACGCTCGGCGTGCTCCTCCTCCGTCTCTCTCGCTCGCTCGGCCGCGGCCGGACAGCCGCGCCTCGCTGCTGCTCTCTCTCTCGCACTCGTGTGTCCGCGGCATAGAGCGCGGCGGCGTCTTCCGGGGGCACCCGCGGGGGAGAGCCGAGCTGGAGAGTCCAGCAGTAGCATCCACCACCCCGACCCCCCCC